GGACTTAGGTTGTAGAACCCCAAGATATGACCTTACGTCCTTGGCAATATGCCCAAACAGAACCCATTTAACAGCCAGCACACTCTAGTAACAGCCATCTCCCAAGCTAACTTGGCCAGAGACAGTCAACAGTGAACATGCTGGGCTAGTCCCCACTTTAAAAAGCTGCAGCCTCAGGATCCCAGATAGGAGTATAAAGATGGTTGACTCCATCTAGACACCACAGGCCACACTGCAGCTGCCACTCAACTGTCACACTCCAAGGAACATCTCCTCCAGACTGACCACCAGTGACTTACACAAAAATCAAGGTACCATGACAAGTTGCTTTCTGCTGTGTGCTATTCTGCCTTGGATCCAGCTGAATATGGACTGAAACCTCCAGTAACTGGAAGGGTCTACAGAGTGTTCAGGGTCTCACTACTAGACTGGACTCCTAATGATCAGCCTGTTTACAACCTCCCAAGAGCTGGGATTATAGGCACGTGCCACCATGCCCAGTCTCAAGTGCCATCTCAGCCAGCCCCTAGGGTGGGGCAAGCACGGCAGGCCTGGTCATTGAACCCCTGGCCCCTGCACCTGCTTCCAGGGTCTTCCTATGCAGCTCAGACTTGTGGTGATCTTCCTGCTTTCAGCCTCCCCAGCGCTGGGATAATAGGCATGTGCCACCATGCCTGAACTCTGGCCAGCTCAGCCCACCCTTGGAGTGGGACCAGCATAGCATGTGGTGTGGGAGATCAAACTGTGGTCCCTGTGCTTACCTAAGCTTGCCTAAGCAGGCACTTTAGTCTGCTGAGCTATCTCGCTGGCCCCTTGTAAGCATTTTTAAGATGTGGTAAACTGTAATCAGTAGGTAGGAAGACATGAATGGAGAATAAATGCCAGATCCTAAGCTAAGTAAACAGTGATTTATCAAATGCATTATGAGCTCAATTTTTGTCAGGCTGAATTATATTTAGTCTTACAGAATCCTAAGAATTTATGTTTATTGCTTATTCACAAATATGTATGTAATATATATTCATATATATATATATCACTTCCTTTAAAAATGAATGAGAATCAAGCAATAATCTGAGGACACAGTATCACAGACATTTATATGTAATGGAGGAAGATGTATGAAGAGGCAAAATGACTTGAGGGTAAAGAGAATTAGATTTTTTCTTTTCTGAAGCAGTACCTCAAGATGGGGAGGGTGGACTGAAGGAGGAGAGGCAGGGACATTAAAGGGCCAGTATCCTGTCAGTGGATGGAAGTGATATGCACCTTCCCATTAGCCAGGAAAATCAGAGACCACAGAGAAGCTGAAGATATGGCCCACAATACAGAGAAGAGGATGAAACACCCTAGAAATCTCACTTTGGTTCCAAGGGAAAGGAACCTATCTCCATAGACACAACTGTCTCACTATGCAGCTTGGACTTGCAGTGATCCTCCTGTTTTCAGCCTCCCCTGCACTGGAATTATAGGCATGTGCCATCGTGCCCAGACTCTCTCAGTGTCCCTAAGGGTGGGGCCAGCACAGCATGGGGCACCAGGGACTGAACCCCAGTTCCTGCACTTTCTAAGCAGGTGCTTAGAAAATGACTCAAATTTATCCTTCTTTATAGCAGAGTATCACTCCATTATGTATAGACACCACATTTTCTTTATCCATTTATCTGTTGATGGACATGTGGGCTGCTTCCAAGATTTAGGTGCTATGATCAAAGAGTTTAATATTTACATATAAACATGCCTTTTTACTAGTGACTTTCATAGGTTAAGGAAAGTCCTGAGAAAGAAAGTACAATATTTAAGCAGAATTTATAAATTTATAGTTATGTATGGTGCTGGTATAAACATGGGTGTGCACTGGCACTGTAATATGATGACTTTACCTCTTTTGGAATGATTCCCAGTGAGGGAACAGCTAGGTTGAATGGAATTTCTAAGTTTACTTTTTTTTGAGGGGGTCTGCATACTGATACCCATAATTATAAAAAATCCTTAAAAGTATATGGCAGAGGGGCTTGAATTTGAAATATTCATTCATCAGAAGTTGAGAATGTAAACTAGTACAACCATTATGGAAATAAGAAGATTCTTCCCAGAGATAAAATTAGAAATTCCATTTAACCCAGCTATCCCCTTTCTGGGTTTCTTCCCAAAAGAGGGGTAGGGGAAGGGGGAATAAGTAGATTAAAGATATGTCATGTCAGGAACCTAAGAATGTCAGTGAAAGTAAATATTATAGAATAAAAGCATAAGTTATGGAGAAAGGCAGCTTAGATGAGAAGGAAAAGAGGTAGAAAGTATGAGAATGGAATCTAACTGTATTAGGTATGTATACCTACTCCCCAAGACGATTGTAAACTGCACGTATTGCAAACATATAAAAGAAGCTATTAGTAGAATGAAGAAAAGTGATCTATAAATACATACTTATTCATACACATACATAAGCATACATATTGTCAGGTATATATCTAAATACAAACATATAGGTATGTAGAATGTAGAAGACATGGTTGTTTGAAATATAGATTCTATTTTTATGAGAAATCAATCATACTTTGGCTTTACTTTGGCTTTGTTTGAACCATAATCCCTTGGATTATTTTAAATTTTTTAAAGAGAGTAAAAATTAGGATTAAAACAGAAAACATTTTAAGTGATACAGATTTTCACTTAACAAAGTAATACAAATTTCACAGTATTTGTTGTAATACATAGTGTTGTCTTCCAACCAGTTATTTGTATTACCAGATATATGCATGTAAAATTGGAAGAAAGAAAAAAGAGAAAGAAATATATAAGGAATTAAGAAGACAAAAAGGAGAAACAATTGAAAAAGGAGATGAAACAAATTAAAGCATTAACTGCTTCTTACCAAAGACAAGCAGAAATGCACAGCACAGTTGTCTAAACCATCCTGCTTACATACATAGATAAACCTATTTCCCCCACTCCCTCTCAGTTAGTTATCCTTTGATCCTTAGAAGACAAATTTAACTTATAAATCACACTGAAATTAACAAAGCAATAACTTATCAATTCTAAAAGCTATTTCTATAAAGTTGTGGAATTATAAATTTGAGGACTAGTCAAATGAAAAGCTGGATAACTCCAAACTCTGTAGAGCTCCACCTGAACTTCA